ATGGTTTTGTTAGTTAATAAAATTCATGTTAAATTGCTGGATTAGGAGTTGTTTTTAAAAGTCTGGAACGGATTAATCCTTTTTGCATTACTTTCTATGGGAAAGCGTGCCTTGGTTTTGGAATGCTTTCGTTTTGGAACAGACTTCCAGAACGGATTAAGTTTGAGAACCAAGGTACCACTGTACATTAGATTTATTGGTGAAAAAAAAAGTTAAAATGGAATCCATAAAAGTGTTCAGAAGTATTTGTGCTGCAATCCCACTTATAATTTAAAATTTCCTTTGTATGCTGCTCTTTGTGGCTGCAGAAAAGGCCCCTCCAATATGCAAATAGCTTTACTAAGGGGTGGAGTCACAGCAGAGTGAAGCCCTGACAACTTTTTAAAAGCTTCAAGTGACCCCAAGCCATTGCTGGGACAACATCTTCCCAGGTTCGCTAGAGTAGCCCTCTGGGAGCTGACCAGGGTGCTGAATTACCTCGCTTTGGACTGGAAGAGGCCCTTCAAAATATTTCCACCACCCGCACGGAGTCTAACCCTCAGCAGAACTGGGCACACTGGAATTAGCTTCCAGTCCCTATGTATTCTTCACCGTCAGAGCTTTACAGGTAGATGGCTACTACTGGGAGTCCCAGACAATTTAATACCTTTTTGAAACAAAGTGAAAAAGCAGGCAAAATCATTTCTTACAGGCACCTGATTATTTTTCTGCAATTACACAAGCTCTTGGCAGATGAAGGTTTCCACCAAAAAGCGATAAAAGAGCTCAGAGAAGATATTAGCATATCGGGAAAGGATCATTCGGCAGCGTGCCATCGCTACCAGGAAATGAATTCAACTGGTGGGCTTATCTTCCAAATTGGATTGAAGACAGGCACAGCTGAAGCGAATCATGGAAGGGGCTTAAGGCCCACTCAAATCTCCGAGAGCAGACAGACCCTGTTTGGTTCGCCTTTGCCGTTGATGCCCCCACCGCCGCGTCAACATTTCCCTGCAAACACAGAGGCTGAGCTGGCAATAGCCTTGGGAACGCAGGAATGCTGAAACTTCAGATATACAAATTCCAATGGTGTGGGTGAGTGCACACTGCTGTGCGCATGGCTACAGTAATGCACTCTATGTGGGGCTGCCCTTGAAGACTGTTCAGAAGTTGCAATGTCTGCAGAATGCAGACCCTGGTGGGCACAACTTACACCAGTTCTCTGAGGCCTGTGCTGGTGCTTCCAAGTCAAATTCAAGGTGCTTGCATTGACACACAAATAATAATAATAATAATAATAATAATAAATTTTATTTATATCCCGCCCTCCCCAGCCAAAGCCAGGCTCAGGGCGGCTAACAACAAACAAATAATCAAACAATCAAATAATCCAACATTCTAAAACATTTCATTATAAAAATTAATTAAAATCAAATTAATGGCAACCGTTAAGCAAAGTTCTGTGCAGGTTGCCGGAGGTGGGAGTCAGGCTGGGCCCTGACCAAAGGCCTGGTGGAACAACTCTGTCTTGCAGGCCTTGCGGAAAGATGTCAGGTCCCGCAGGGCCCTAGTCTCTTGTGACAGAGCGTTCCACCAGATTGGAGCCGCAGCCGAGAAAGCCCTGGCTCTAGTTGAGGCCAGCCTAACCTCTCTGAGGCCTGGGACCTTCAGGATGTTTTTATTTGCAGACCGTAGGTTCCTCTGTGGGGCATACCAGGAGAGGCGGTCCCGTAGGTACGAGGGTCCTAGGCCGTATAGGGCTTTAAAGGTTAAAACCAGCACCTTAAACCTGATCCTGTACTCCACCGGGAGCCAGTGCAGCAAATGTGTCCTCTTCTTTTGTTTTTCAAAATATGGCAACCTTACATGATGTCCATTATATTCAATGGATCTACTCTGAGTAGGACTGACCTATAGCCTGGACTGCTCTAAGGCAGCTCTTCATGTTTTTAAGCTGCTTTTTAGTATTTTTAGTTTTTACTGGGGGCTGTCTCTCTCCCTCACTCCCCCGGCCTTGTCCCCTGCAGAAGAATAATACATAACAGTGAGAAACAAATATTAAGGTTGCTAAAAAAATTCCCCCAATGTTAACCCAGAGACAAATAGCTGAGGTGCATATTTATGACAACGCTCCCTTCCTAAAGCCATCACTCATCTTCAAAGAAAAGCCCCAAAGGAGGAAATAAATAAAGGAAGCTGGAAGAAAGTACCCAGGTACCATTCAGGGCCAGCAAGCAGACTAGAATTGAATTATAGACTCGTAGAGCTGGAAGGGAGTCATCTAGTCCAACCCCCTCATAATGCAACAATTATTCTGCAGAGAGGTCTAAAAACCATCAAAAGTTTCCTACATGCGCTCACTCCCCACTCTTATTAGCACAGGCCAGCTTTGGCCAGCCTGGTGCCCTCCAAATATTGCTGGACTACAACTCCCAGTGAGAATGTCCAATGACCAGGAATGATGTGACTTGTAGTCCAGTGACACCTGGGGAGGGGGCACTGGGTTGGGGAAGGCTGGCACAAATCACCCACTCTTTAGCTGCTAGATTTAAGAAGTCTCATCCCTATTGATTAAGACAGTATATCAGCATTCCCCAAGCTGCTGCCCTCCAGGTGGCACTGGATTGCAACTCCCATCAGCCCCAACCAGTGTGGTCAATGGTCAAGGATGACGGGTTTGAACTCCAGCATTTTCCACAGAGCACCAAGTTGGAAGAAACACTACTATACCACAAAGCAGTTAGCTTGACACAGTTCAAATCCCTATTCTGTGATGAAGACCAGTGGGTGACTTTGAGGTCTGCCACTCTTGTCTCAACCTAACCCACCCTTGACGCAGAACTGACCTGCACCTCCATGGACAGCTGTGAGTCCAAAATGACTTCCAGGCTGCGCACCTGGTCCTTCAGGGGGATAGTTACCCCATTCAGGACCAGGGAGTCCTCCATACCCGCCTACCCCCTGTCCCTCAAGAGCAGTACTTCTGTCTTGTCAGGATTCAACCTCAATCTGGGGTAGACAACACTGTGCAACCTGGCTCACAATAAGGATTCAACCTCAATCTGTTAGCTGCCATCCATCCTCCAACCGCCTCCAGACACTCACGCAGGACCTTCACCGCCTTCACTGGTTCCAATATGAAAGAGAGGTAGAGCTGGGTATCATCTGCATGCTGATGAACACCCAGCCCAAACTCCCTGATGATCTCTCCCAGTGGTTTCTTGTAGATGTTAAAAAGCATGGGGGAGAGGAGGGAAGCCTGAGGCACCCCACAAGTGAGAGCCCAGGGGTCTGAACACTCATCCCCCCCCCACCACTTTCTGGACACGGCCCAGGAGGAAGGAGCGGTACCACTGTATAACAGTGCCCCCAGCTCCCAGTCCCTCTAGATGGTCCAGAAGGATGTAATGGTTGATGGTATCAAAGGCCACTCTCATACAATATCAGGGCAGTGTACAGCGATAGAAAAACATTTAAAGCAGTACAAAAGTAACATTAAAATGACTGGCCACTCGATGCAATTACCTATTTTTTTAATAATAATAATAATAATAATAATAATAATAATAATAATTTTATTTATACCCCACCCTCCCCAGCCAAGACCGGGCTCAGGGCGGCTAACACCCGATATAAAAACAAATTGATTGAAATACAACTTAAAAACAAGATTAAAATACATTAAAACATTAAAATACAGCCTCATTTCAATGGAAACTCAAATAAAAAACTTTTTTGGGGGATGAAAACGTCAAGTCTTCACCAAGGGTAACTATCCAGACTGGTCCTACATGGGCCAGAAAAAAGCCAGGGAAGTCCCCAAATAGGAATTCCTCCATCACAGGAGGAGAAAGGAAAAAAGAAGAGGGGAAGGGAATCAAATTGATTCCAAGTCGAAGGCCAGGCAGAACAACTCTGTCTTACAGGCCCCACAGAAAGAAATTAGATCCTGCAGGGCCCTGGTCTCATGAGACAGAGTGTTCCACCAGGCCGGAGCCAGTGTTGAGAAGGCCCTGGCTCTGGTTGAGGCTAATCTGGCTTCCTTAGGGCCCGGGACCTCTAGGGTGTTGCTATATATGGACCTTAAGGTCCTCCGTGGGGCATACCGGGAGAGGCAGTCCTGTAGGTATGAGGGTCCCATAGGTACATTTTGCTTGCTTGTAAGGGGAGGATGTGACAGAGGTGTTTAAATAAGTCACAGGGTGCAGAAAATGGACAGGGAGATGGTTTCTCTCCCTCTCTCATAACACTGGGATTTGGGGACATCCAATTAAGCTGATTCCTGCATTGCTGGGGATGGGACTAGGTGATTCTTGAAATCCCTTCCAACTCTATGATTCTATGAACGCCTGAAGATTCAGGACAGACAAAAGACACTGAGTGTAGTTGGGCTATGGAACTCCCTGCCACAGGAGGCAGCAACGTCCACCAAAATTGGAAGTCTTTAAAAGATTTGGGGAATTCATGGCAGAGAGGGCTATCAAGGGCTGCTAGCCCAAATAGCTATGTTTTGCCTCCACTTTGGGAAGCAGCCTGCCTGTATAGACCAGTTTATGGGAATCACAAGGTTGCGAGAGCACTGCTGTTGTGCTCAGTTCCTGCATGTGGGCGTCACCACTGTGAGAACAGGAATACTGGATCTTATGGGCCACTGGCCTCACCCAGCAGGGCTCTGCTTGCATTCTTAATTTTTGTTTTGCCTTCAGCCAAGTGGTCAAGGAACAAGGGAAAAGAGAGACCCAGTTAGAAGACTTGGATCCTGATGTTAATTTTCTTCATCTCATTGGAGAGCAGGGGGGAAAGCGAAGCAAATGGCGCAATGGACTTACTTGGCACCCTGTTAATGGCTCGTAAAGGCCTGAGTACACGGACAGTACGGATGGCAGATAAGCTGACGTTGTGTCCATCCAAGGAATATTCCATCATGCTGGAGAGAAAGAGAGAGACACACACAGAGAAGATATACAGGTGAGAATGAAGTTCTCAAACATCCTCTAAACCAGCCTTTCTCAACATGTGGGTCCCCAGATGTTGTTGAACTACAACTCCCATCACCCCTAGCTAGCAGGGATGATGGGAGTTGTAGTCCAACAACATCTGGGGACCCACAGGTTGAGAACCACTGCGGAAATGGATGCTTCCTTATAACAGAAGGATTTCCATTGGACACAATGGGCACTTAATTCTAAGTAAGCACCCACCTCCGCATAAACGCTTGGCTACATTCAATAAAATATCATTAATGAAAATTAGATGAAAAACAAAACACAACTTGAGCCTCTTGGTGTCAAGGGGAAACTGACAGTTAGATTAGTAATGTAGATTAGCCCATGTAGTTCCATTCACTTTGCTGTGAGTCCTGGAAGATCTGTTCTCTGCCCTGCAGGCCTTTTCCCATCTGGTTTGGGAGGGCGGAGCCCGGACTGACTCCAGCTACAAAAGCTGAGGCTGCTGAACAGACTCTTGGGCTGCGGGATTGAGGGTTTTTTGGGGGAGAGGTGTTGTTGCTGTTGGGGTTGTTAATTTTTTGTCCTTTATTTTAGATCTTATGATGATTTATGTGGAAATAGTTTAATTTGTCAATTGAAAGCTCAGAGGATGATGCCATACAGTAACTCCTCCGATGAAGCATTTCAGTTACGGCACCTGGGGGAGGCTGCAGAAATGTTTCATGGAAAGAAAAACACACTCACATCACCCTCAATCACCTTTCAAGCATGGTGCAGTGGTTAGAGTGTTGGAGTAGGTCCCAGGAGACCAGGGTTCAAATTTCCCACTTGGCCATGAGGTTCACTGGATGTGACCTTTTGGACCAGTCACTGCCTCTCCTGGCTTAACCAATGAGGTGGTTGTGAGCATAAAATGGGGAAGAGAAGAACCATAGATGTCCTTAGGATCAGAATATGGCCTGAGGAAAAAAATGCATTCATCAGTAGCAATTTCTGTCCATTTTCTAGCAGCGGGGATATATACCAAAGAAAGCATTCTCTGGAATGGAATCACAGGTCTTGTGGGGTGTTTTCCAGGGCTTTTTGGCTTCCATGCGATGGCGTAATATGCTTTCCGGATAATCCTGCCACATCTGCATTCAGCGTTTTGAAACCAAGCGCCTGGGATTTATTTTGCCGCTGCCACGCTGCAGAACACGAGAGAAACAACTGGAGCTGATTCAAGGGCCACCTAGCAAGGAAATATATATCGCAAACACTAATTTCCACCTGCCAGTTGGAGCGAACAGGCCAGGAGCCAAGAGCCAGGTGTGTGAACCGAGTCGGCTTTCCAGGAATAATACAAGCTATTGTCTAAAACCATTGTGCAAACATCGTAGGATCCTGAAGAGCTGCCTGGCGACAGTCCCAGTTTATTACAGCTTCCATCGTAAATGGATGCAGCTATTTATCTGTTTATCTTCTTTTTATTTGGCCAGGCTGAGAGAGCCCTCTCATGCGGAAGTGTGGAGCCTCAGGCTTGGGGGCCAAATTCAGCCATCTAGCCCTGGGGCTGCCAGAACCTCCAGGAATGACCTGAAGCCTCTAGGCTTGCCTGGTCCCCTCCATGTGACAGGATGTGTGTGTGCTTGAATCTCCAGGTGGGTGGGAATCCCTTAATAATAATATGCTGAATGATTACGATTATTATTGAGGAGACTGGGCATGCAGCTTGCAAGCTGCAGCTTCTCAAGAACTGGCTGCAAATTACTGCAAAACACTCTCGGGATGGGGGTAGGGTCTGTCCTCCACCCAGCGTGCCAACTTGAAAAAATACATAGGGGGAGGATCCTTCCTCACATAATCAATTACAAAATGTGGCATGCACACAACATTTGAATGGCAATGCCTATAATCTTTGGGGGCCCCAGCCCACTACAATATTTTACTGGGGGAACAAAGGGACCTTAGCACCTAGGAATTAGCTCTTTGCTTCTGCCGCTCTCCCAATTAACCTCCATCTCCAGGTCTCAGTGGTCTCAGGGAGCACAGACAACGCCTAATGCCATCCTGGGGTCTTGGGTTTGGGTTTTGAAATCTCTGGGTCTGCGATGCTCCTGGCCTGGCAATCCTACCTAGGCCTTTGCCTCTGGCTCTCTGGACCGTCCCCACCCCTAGCTAAACCCCCTCTCCTCAGGCCCTATCCCTCACCAGCTCTGTGTTTTTGCTTGGCTGGAATGTGTTCCTGAACTCTGAGAATGTCTTTTGTTGGACCCAGAGCTGAGTGCGTAAGTAGAAACCAGCCCGCCGTACAAAGGTAATCACTTGTTCCTCTGCTTGCTTTGACTTCTGGCCCTGCACATCGTGGGAGTGTGGCCCCAACTGAAGGGAATGTGGTCCCCAAGCTGCAAAAAGTCTCCCCACTTCTTTTCTAGTGAGCATGGGTAATACCTATATAATGGATGCCCAATGAAGCTGAATATTGGAAGTTTTTAATGTTTGATGCTTTATTGTGTTTCTAATTTTTTTCTGGAAGCTGCCGAGAGTGGCTGGAGAAACTCAATCAGATGCGTGGCAAATAAAAAATTATTATTATTATTATTATTATTATTATTATTATTATACAAAGGACAGTGCTTCTTCACTCTGCACATAGTTAAACTATGGAACTCCCTCCCACAGGAGGCAGCAGTGACCACCAACTTAATGGCTTTAAAGAGGATTAGACAAATTCATGGAGGAGAGGGTTATTGATGGCTACTAGCCAAGAGGTCCGTGGTCTGCCTCTGCTGTTAAAAAGAAGAAGGGGAGTTTGGATTTGATATCCCGCTTCATCACTACCCTAAGGAGTCTCAAAGCAGCTAACAATCTCCTTTCCCTTCCTCCCCTACAACAAACAGTCTGTGAGGTGAGTGAGGCTGAGAGACTTCAGAGAAGTGTGACTGGCGCAAGGTAACCCAGCAGCTGCATGTGGAGGAGCGGGGAAGCGAACCCGGTTCACCAGATTATGAGTCCACTGCTCTTAACCACTACGCTGCTCTTAACCACTAAGAGGCAGTAAGGCTTTTGAATATCCATTGTTGGAAACCATAGTAAAGGTAAAGGTAAAGGGACCCCTGACCATTAGGTTTAATCGTGGCCGACTCTGGGGTTGCAGGGCTCATCTCACTTTATTGGCCAAGGGAGCCGGTGTACAGCTTCTGGGTCATGTGGCCAGCATGACTAAGCCGCTTCTGGAGAACCAGAGCAGCACACAGAAACGCCATTTACCTTCCCGTCAGAGTGGTACCTATTTATCTACTTGCACTTTGATGTGCTTTCGAACTGCTAGGTTGGCAGGAGCAGGGACCAAACTCACCCCGTCGCGGGGATTCGAACCGCCAACCTTCTGATCGGCAAGCCCTAGGCTCTGTGGTTTAACCCACAGCGCCACCCGCGTCCCGGAAACCATAGTAGGGGAGAGCAATCTTCTGCTTGGATCTTGCTTGTGGGCTTTGCAGAGGGGCATATTGTTGACCGTTGTGCTGGACCAGATGGGCCCTTGGCTTGACCCAGCAGGCTCTCCTTATGTTCTTACGGGAGGAAGGGCAGCATAGAGATTTAATTAAAAGCTGTCTAGAAAATGAAGGATATGCAGATATGACCTTTGATACCAGGCTGGGCGAACACACTGCCTGCTTTTAGCCGTCCCGATGATCAAAGTCAGAGGAAGTTTATCTGATAAGGCTGCCTGTGTCTTACTTACGGGGGACACTTAGCTGTCTACTCCACACAGAGGTGCTGGGCAGAAAATATCCAGTTCCATCATTTCACGCCAGTTTGAGCCTCTGTTTGCATCAGAACTGCCCTGGTTACTGCAGCCTTTTGCCTGATACCACAAGCACTCGTCGCTCTATTAACTGACTCGAGGACACTGAAAGGGTAAAAGTGGGTCCTGCACATTCAACACTCACTTCCTTATCCCTCTGGGGACTAAAATAGCTCCATTATCAAGGGGGTGACTGACGTTTTAGAGGACAGGGTGGGGGGGGGCGGCAGAGAGTAAAACTTAAGAAGGACAGGAAAAACATGCCAATCATTTCATCCCATAGTTGCCTGAGCTTTGTGGATGCTTAAAAACAAACAAACAAATAGACATTTTAATTTGGATGCTCAAACGTTTTAGATCTTTGAACCAGTGTGGTGCAGTGATTAAGAGAGCGCTTGACTCATTTTTAATATTTGCCACCCTTTCTCAGAAACTATAGGACTTAAAGCAGGGCGGATCCTCAAGAGCATAGGCAGTTGCCTTATACTCTGGCTGCCAGTCACTCTCCAGGGTTTCAGAAAACAGCAGAGAATATAGCTGAGCATTGCATCAGCCGGAAGTACACAGAAACACCCGCAACAGAAGCAGCATCTTGCTACCCGGTTAAAGTAATTTCTGCTTAGGCCATGAGACAAGCAAGCAAAATTGATGGGCTTTTAAATCATGCCCCCCTCCTATAGATACAAGTTTTACACCACTTTCCCTTCCAGCCCACAACACTGATTGATGAGCAATTTGTCTACTGACCCCGCAATTACGATAAAGAAGTCCAGGCGATTCCACGTGTCTCCTAGGTAACACTTCTGCCCGAAGATTCCCAGAGCTATCATTTTGATGACCATCTCCACAGCGAAGAAGGCAAAGATGAAATGATCAAACGCCTGCAGTGGAAAAGAAAGAGGGAAACAATAAGAAGCCGCTATTAGTCCCATAGTGTATCCCTGTCATTTAGTGTAGCAAATCGAGTGCTGGACTAGCATCTGGGAGAGACTGAGGTTCAAATCTTCCATTGGGAGCCAGTCAGAGTGTCACACAGACTGGCCTACTTCGCAGGGTTGTTGTGAACATAAAATGGAAAGGGGGGGGGAAGGAGAACTATGCATGCCACTACAAGTTCCTTTGAGGAAAGGTGCTATATAAATGTTAAAAAGGACCCCTGACCATTAGGTCTAGTCGTGGCTGACTCTGGGGTTGTGGCGCTCATCTCGCTTTATTGGCCGAGAGAGCCGGCATACAGCTTCCGGGTCATGTGGCCAGCATGACTAAGCCGCTTCTGGCGAACCAGAGCAGCGCACGGAAATGCCATTTACCTTCCCGCCGGAGCGGTACCTATTTATCTACTTGCACTTTGACGTGCTTTTGAACTGCTA